ACTGTCATCGTAATTTGAGGAAGTGAGTAGCGTCCCAAATATAAGTTCTGGCACATAAACTTTCTCGATTTTGTGCAACACAACCGGAACACCTCGACCATTGTTATAAATGCTAATTTCATTCTTCTCCCTGCAAAATAAGTGATATGTTAATGGACCGAAACACTCCATACCTCATTATAAGAATCTCACAAATTTTCTAATTTTCGTTTCTTACCTGTTTCTTTCTTTCTTTCTTTATTTCATCCCTTCTTATTATAACTTTCTATTCCCTGGAATAACAGCTTAAATATTCTTTGGTTTTCTTCGTATAAAATTAATCGAAAAAATATAAAATTACTCGAAGAAAAATAGTATATAAGCTCAGCCTAAGCTGACAAAATAATACAGTGATCAGAGGTGGTACCACTCTAATGCCTAACGTTTCGACGGTTCGATTCTGTTGGTGACAAAACCAGTGTTTCCACGATTCGTTCATTCGTTTCGATGGTCAGGCAGCTGATATCACTTTACTTCTAAGCAACTCTTGAAAGAGGAAGCCATCGATAGCCTTATCTGCTTTTGGAATACTCTATATTTTTGAGCTAATTCTAAACGCCTCTGCTGCTCACAGAGAGTGAAAATTATGAGGGTTTTATTTTCCTTCATTTCTAAATTCAACAGAAAAAAAAAATGATCTTTAAACCCAGCAATTTCCCGCAAGGAAATCTACAAATATTGAGCTATCAAACTGTCTAATACGCCACACAAAAAGGGTTGGGATGAGGCAAGCGCGGGAAGGGAGGGGGAGGAGGGACCAGAAAACGTGGTAGCAGAGGTGATTACTTGTTTATGTTCACTTTGATCAGGCTCATTTTAGGATCACGTTGCTTGTTATCGGCTGCATTCACCAGTATTTCATCGAATATCTTGTAGAGGCCCGGGACATACGAAATATCACGCTGAACTATTCGATCCGTTTCAATATCGTACACCCATGTTGGCTGAAATTATCGGTGCTTTTTAAGAAAAATTTCGAAATTTCGTCCAATCACCACCCCCAAAATCAACTGGATATTAAAAGCCAGGGAGGGGATTGAGGGAAGGGAACAACACATTGAGGAAAGCCAACTGATATTACAAGCAAAATTACATTTTTTTAGTTGAATTTTTACAGCTTCGGATGCGAAAAATGAATCAAAATTGACGAAAACATGGCAAAAATCCCTTCAGTTTTTCGAAAAAACAAGCAAGCGATGGAAAAAAAAAACATACAGCACGATCAGTATACTCAACCGAACCAATATATGTATCGGGTCGCAAGAGAATATGCTCAAGTTGTGTTTTCTTCTGGTAAATTTTCTCGATGCTCAATCGTTTTCCATGATTTTCTTTTTCCTCTTTTTCCAAATCCAAAAAAACATCCAGCGGATCATTTTGTGCCGCTGTAAAATATTTCAAAAAGACTTTTGAAAAGATCAAAGATCAAATTCAACACTAATTTTGAAGCAGCAACTTGCAAAAGCTCTCTGTCCGCTGAGATAAGACTACCGATGGCTCCCTCTTTCGAAGGTTGCTTACATGAAAGCTGATAATGATAGGTTTAACTTTCTAGAATAAGCCAGCGCCAATTTGATGAGATTTACCCGGTTTTTCAGTAGCCTTCTTCTTCGCCGCTACAGTTGTCTTTTTTGGCAATTTCACTGGTGGTGTGTCGTTCGAAGCGATTGTCTGAACAGAATTTCAATCATAAACTGATAAAGAAGC